GTCGCTAAAGTTTCGTCGGAACGAATTTACGGAAAATTAACTAACGAAAAGAGACCTAACAATATTTTCTGTGATAATTACATGGTTTATTATGTTGGTCTGAGTTTTAGAATTTCTTAGTTCGGCAAACATTATTAAACAGCTTAAAAGCTAGAGTTTGTTAAGATGAATTGAAAAACTTAATACTTAATGTGCAGTTTTCAGGAAGTTCGACTTTCTGTACTCTTTTAAACTGTGTCTAGTTTTATCATAGGAAGCACTTTTCCAATGTCGTTTTAAACTCTGGTTTTTTAGTTGTTCTTTAAACTTTTCTATCAGCAAAGTTTTAAATTGTATCTGTTTATTATTATTTTATTGTTAGCTTCTTATCTTACATAATTTTAAACTCTCTGGTTTTATTTTAAGAGGCTCTTTATACAGTAAGATTTTTTACCATGGAATTTTAAATGTGTGTCTAGTTTTTTTTATTTCTTTAGCTTTAAAAAGCCCTTTACATAGTGTGATCGTGCGAAATTTGTACTTGCTGTGGGCCCACCAATCAGATCATAATAAATAACCGTGTACCAGTGGTCTGAAGATGTGGGTAACCGGACACCATTTTATTGGTGTTGTCATGTACAACTTCAACTCCATAAATCTATACGACAAGCACTGATATTATCATATTGCAGAAGAACACCTTCTTACAGCGGACGGATACTGACCAATTACTACGATTTTTCACCAGACCCAGTTTTCTCATATCTACCGCAAGTGAAACTTCTCTCTCTCTCAACACTTATAATAGTTTACTATCATCATTATTACGTTCAATACAATACTTACCGTTTCAGTTGTAATAGACTTTTCAATTAACAATAAATCTGTTTCTTCTTCATTTAACACCACTCTCACAGTCTTTTCGTTTTCGTCATCTAGAAACGTCAAATATAGGTCTTACGCGGAGAACTTATACTTAAAGATTTAACTTAAGCCTAGTTTTCTTAAGAAGCTCGTTAATAGTCTCATGTTATTTATAAGATATACACAAAGAAGAAATATCGGATATTATTACGATCTCCGTGAAATCTGAAGCGAATGAAACATTCAAAATATAAAATAGCAGAATTGACTAAAGTAATATATCTTGTCAAGCAGTTTCCTACTCAACAAATACACTGTCACTGTTAATCAGATATTTGTTGACCAGATAAACTAATACACTGTCATTATTCACCAGCTATTTGTTGACCAGATAAACTAATACACTGTCACTGTTAATCAGCTATTTGTTGACCAGATAAACTAATACACTGTCACTGTTAATCAGATATTTGTAGACCAGATAAACTATACCACTGTCACTGTTAATCAGCTATTTGTAGACCAGATAAACTAATACACTGTCACTGTTAATCAGATATTTGTAGACCAGATAAACTATAACACTGTCACTGTTAATCAGCTATTTGTTGACCAGATAAACTAATACCCTGTCACTGTTAATCAGCTATTTGTTGACCAGATAAACTAATACCCTGTCACTGTTCATCAGCTATTTGTTGACCAGATAAACCAATACGCTGTCACTGTTCATCAGCTATTTGTTGACCAGATAAACCAATACACTGTCACTGTTCATCAGCTATTTGTAGACCAGATAAACTAATACCATGTCGCTGTTCATCAGCTATTTGTTGACCAGATAAACTAATACCCTGTCATTGTTCATCAGCTATTTGTAGACCAGATAAACTAATACCCTGTCGACTTACCCAATGAGCAGTCGTAAGTACAAATGTATTCAGATGTGGTGAACTGATGGCTCAACGAAGATTTACCCACGTTCGAGGATCCAACAATTAAAACTGGAACTGGATGTAATGATGGCAATACGATAGGTATATTCGCGGTGGATGGTTTGGAGTTTGGTGCGTTTCGCGAACAGAAAAAATTACCAGAACTACGAGATTTGGAGCGAAACGAGTCGCCTCTGTTGACTATTCCTTTGGACGTTACCGAAAAATTCCGGAGCCTTTCAAACTTTGTTGATGTAAGGATAATATCCTTGCTGGAGCCGCCAGAAGGAAGTGTTTCTCCCGATGAAATGTACGTCTCTCCAGGAATACTGGATATCCGTTCCCGACGACATTGCGTTTGAAACCTGCGCGTTGCCTTCACTGACTGAGTCCGCCTGATGGTTCCCGATTTTGTGTCTATCTTACTTTCGGTCAGTAATTCCTCTTCTTTAGCCAGTTTGCAGAAGGACTGATTGACCGTTTCGTTGAGTCCACCTTATTTATGCACAGCTATAAGGAGGGAACTGGAACACCGGCGACTTATGGCACGTTTCTCGACTGTAACTTGTGGATCATTACATACTTGAGGCTTACGATCGAACGTGTCACTACTAGACCCTTCACTAATCCCGCTAGAGCAGAGGAGGTTAAGAAAATATACAATTCTTCTACACAATGATGAGGGAAGAACGTCTCGTAACGAATACAAATTACATGGATTTATATGACGTCACAGCCTACGTGTTTTGAAGAACGCTTAGATTGTACATTATGGTAAATACGTTTAAGACCATTATTTCAGAAACGTTTGTTGATATTCTGCCTGATGATTAAACCTAAAATGGCAGAGATATATAAGCAGATTACTGTTTGTTAGGGTGAATTTTCAGATTTTACAATGGTGTTGCTATGGTTACACAAAAACGGTTAAACTTTTTTGTTTTGTGTATTTTACGAATACGTTAAGTATTGTTCGGTAGACGATATACAACAGAAAGATTCGTAAAACCGAAGCAACTAACATGTTAACACATCACTACAATCGTTCTTAACAACGGGAACAAATACAAAGAAAGTTACAGTTATATTTCTCTATGCCAGGTGTCTCTCTGAACATCTATAGAGGATATGTAGACGACATCAGGACAGTAACTGGAAGCCACAACCCAATACGATCACTGTTAATACACACCAGACCACCTAAGGTCAAATGAAATGGGAAAATCACAACTTACAGCGTCCACCAAAACTGTGGATTTCCAGTTCATTGAAGACAACGAAACTTAGAAACCAGGAAGATAATACAGTAATACTGACCTGTCCGTCATGCCAGAGAAGACCATGCGATAAATTGGAACAATACTAAAACTGGAGAGACACTTTCGCCACGTAGCGTTGGTCATATTCGGATCTTAAAAAATATGTGAAAACGTGTCCGTATGGCTGGACAATAGGGAATAACATTCTACATATATCCTCAAAGATTCATCAAAATTTTGATTATTTTTAACACTCAGCCGTTTTCGAGAATATTGCTGACAAATAAACACATACACATAGAGGTGGCGGGGGTAATAACAGGAGATTAAAAAAATGATTTAAAAAATACAAAAACAACAACTTTTACAGTTGGCAAAATCTGTTTTAATGTAACTCTTAATAGTTGATGACTCGCTACTATTGGCTGAAGCATTTCAATTACTAATATCAGAACGTGCCTACTATAACAATTGTATTTTTGAGTTCAATAAACATTAAATATAAAAGTATTCTAACTGATTATATACTCAGTCAGAAAAACTTCTGATTCAAGTCTGACTGGTGAAGGCCCCCAGTCGGCCAGATAACGAACTAGATTTCCATCGAGAAAAACCAAGATCGAATTCCACCTACCAGAAATAGTCGTTCTCAGAAGCAACAGATTAGCAGCCGAAACCTACGGTAAAACTAGTTACTAACACAGGCCTGCGATGGTCTTGAAATGTTTACATGTTCTACTGCACGCTGAATCCGAAAATGATATCCATTTGTTTTCCATCACGTTCAGATTTTTCACAAACGCAATACTTAAAAGAAAGACAAAAAAACGTAGTTTTAAGACTAAAAGACGTAGATTTCACACAAAAATAGATGAATGAGGATGCATATTCGTTTAACATCAACGTTCG